ATAAATCAAAATTTGGCCTTCAAAACTGCCGCAGGGTATAGCTCACGGGGGGGTACTCGTGTCGGTGAAATACGGTATTTGTGCAGATCATTTGTTACTATTACTATTACGCTATTACTATTACTACCATTAACTTTGATAATGATAATAATGAGACAAATGGTTGTGCAACTCGGATAATCCAATAAATATAATCTATTGCTATGTATCTTCGTTCTCATGCTCTTCCCAATGGTGTCTGCGACACCATCATTTTAATCATGAACAATAAGTTGCCTCCCGCCAACGAAACGTTCTTTACAACCGATTATGATGTGTTATACCTTCCATTAGACGATTCGGAGGACGATTATGATACTGGTGATGACGGTGAAAATGATGAAAATATAATACTTGTGAACGAAGCTGAGAACAAAGAAAATACCCCCCCTGAACTTCCTGGACATTATGAGGAAATTTTCATTGAATATGAGAAGAATGTGAAGCATATCTATCGCTGAAGTCATTCTTTACAACTGCTAAGTGCTCTTGTTTAGACAAAAAAAAGAACATTAGACAGAAGTGCTTTGAGATGGTAGGCTTTCGTAGATTCTTTGAACGCCATTTGCAGTTCCGAGGACTGAGTCGTGAGCAGTTAGATAATATTCTAATGGGTCAATTATTGGCATTTGACAATGAAACAGACGGTAAATCAAATGAAAAAAAAAGGCGGCATTTTCTGTGTTATCGCTTTAATAGCCGTATCACCTTGTGTAAGAATACTTATCTAAGGCTCGTTGGAGTGAGTGAAAAAAAACTGCTAGCCATTCTGTCGCATCTTAAAAAAAACAGGCATCATTCCAAGAGTTCATGGAAACACTAAACGCATTCCACAACGAAATACGAAAGTTACAATCAATTATGAACTTGCAAAAGAAGTGAGAACATTTGTTACCAATTATGCTTCTGTAAATGGTCTACCATCCCCCGGTCGTCACTTATCTAAAGTTACGTCTGCACTTATCTATCTACCGACTAACGAAAATTACACAACTGTCTTCGAGCACTTTCAACAATCGATGAGACTTACATTTGGTGATGAACAGAAGATAATGTCTCGAAATTCTTTTGTGCGCTTATGGAAGGCTTTAACACCTCATATAACATTCCTGAAACCACAATCTGACTTGTGTACTGTCTGTGAAGAACTTCGTTACAAAATTGCACATAATAATGACCCTCAAAGAAAAGAGGATGTTATCAAAGAATATAGTGATCATCTGCGAGTGGCTAGGCTGGAGCGAGACTACTATCAATGTAACATCACACAAGCTCAGCAGGATACCGAACAACTTTCTATTAAGCAACTAATTCAGAACCCATTATTAAAGTCTATCGATGGTATGTTATTCTCATTAATGTCATTGCTTGTTGTGCTGTTTAATAAGCCACTTTTCACACAGCAACAGCCCACTACTGCTATGACTGGGCACAAAGTGTACCTATACCACATTCCCCTCAACAAGTCGGTCCTCTATATTTCAAAAGTTTACGTTCAGCTAGCATCTTCGGTGTGACAGATACAGGGGTCCTACCTACGCCTGTACAGACTAACTACATCATTAATGAGGGTGAATTTCTGGTTGGTGCAGCAAAAGGAGCGAATGCTACATTGAGTATGGTATACAACACACTAATGAAAAGGAATCGGGGGGAGAAAAGACTGAAAATTACTTGTGATAATTGTAGTGGGCAAAATAAGAACAATACCTCTTTTTTCTATTATTGTTGGCTGACTTTAAATGGGACTATTACTCAGTTGAGATTAACTTTATGATTCCAGGTCATACTAAATTTATCTGTGACCATTATTTTGGACTTCTAAAGACTTTATACCATAAAACTCGAATAAATACAATTGATGATGTGGTGAAAGTTGTCATGTGCTCCACTAAGAACGGCATTAACAAAGCAATACAATATCAAGGTGGAGAGGGCTGGACCTATTATGATTTCACACAATATTTTGCACCACACTTCAGTAAGATTCCACATCTTAAGCAATACCAACATTTTCTATTTAGAAGTAATGAGCCTGGCAAAGTTTTTTGCCAGAAGTCATTCAACAGTGAATACGAGACTTTTACTTTACTTAAACTGAGCAATAATTTTGATCCTCTTGCGCCTGCTCCTATATTAAATACTCAACCAGTCTCTTATACGAGACAGAAATACTTATATGATGAAGTTCGAAGGTTTGTAGATGATCCATATAAAGATATAACTTGTCCAAAGCCAAGTGAAGTCAAATAAAAGATATCGTCTCATGCCAATTTTGGGGTTATCCTGAGTGGGGTCATTGCTGTCAAAAACCCACCCCAAATCTTTGCATCCAAATTTCTCGATGATTGTCATCATGCGATAACTGCCTTTTTGATAGATCAGGGCCATATTTCATTCGTATTCGTAGATAAACAAACGAACACATCTAGTCCGTTATCCATATATCAATTTTTACTGTTTGATTGTTCCAGCAATTGCATCGAGATGTCGTTCTGGCTTCCATCTATTTGCTTAATTTGTATTGGATCCATCTATCTTTTCCTTCTGGCCCAATTTTATTTGCTTAATTTGTATTGTCTCGATCTATCTCGATTTTCCTTTAGACACATAATTAGTAAGCTTTGTTTACACACACACTCGCGCAGACGTAATTAACATTGGTTATGCACATTTAAATTAAACTTTTCCATTTTGTTACGCACACGTGAACCTTTTTCCTTTACGCTTATATATAGACGCTTCCTCGCTATTCGTACATTCCT